TTGCCTACCCCTGGCCTAGTCTATTAAGCCTGACAGGAGTAGATTATCAGAAACTATGTGTTTCTCTAACATTTTTTCTAACCAAGTGTATATTATTGCCAAGTGCCTGAATTTTGATCACGTGACCCTGGGAATGTTGCAACGGTTGTAAGTCTGGCAAACGGTCTTAAGTCACTCCTTCCAGTGCCATTGTATCTTTGAACTGTCACTAAATGAACTATTGTAAGCCGAGGACTACCTGAGTGGGGTAGGCGATTGTTAACAGATTCTTGCAAGTCTGATAGCGTTTCTCACCATCCCTCTCATCCCGCTTTGGAGTCAGGGAGGCTCCCCGTCTGAGATTCCAGCGTGTATCACCTCCTTTCCCAGGGATTCAGGATGTGTCATGCCTCCGTCGGAGCCCGAATCTGCTGAGGAAAATGAGCTGGAACGGAACCCTATCGAGGTCGAGGTGTCTGTGGCTTCAGAGGAATGTGGGAAAGAGCAGGCGGAGGCAGGCCAGAGCCCTTCAGGGTTGGTAAGATGACCAACCATCCTCCTTTAGGGAGGACAGTTCTCCTTTTGTAAGTTCTGTCCTCCCTCAAAAAGTGTCCTCCTTTTTGATATTTGAAGACTAATCTGCAGGGCTTTTTTTCCCCCTCATAGAACGCTCAGAACGGTGTTCTGGCACCTTTTTTTGATGGTTTTCTTTTTCAACTTTTGCATGAGCTGTGCTACTCCCGCTATTGGCTTTCAAAAGCCAATAGGAATTGCTGCTGAGCGTGCCAAAACACCCGGCTGGCAAACTTTGCACATGCAAGTTGTCTGTATTATTGTTGCAATAATAAAATGTTTCTTTTATTTACAATATTTTTTTCTTCAATTTATTTGTGTCCTCCTTTTCATTGTAAAAAAGTTGGTCACCTTAGGATTGGGACAGGAGGAACAGGAGGGGCACAGTTCAGGCAATGAGCAAGGGCCACCCCCTCCTGATCCTAGAGCACGGAGAGTGGAGAGAAGGATGGAACAACAACAACAACAACAACAACAACAACAACAACAACGCAGGCAGGCTCAACTACTAGGGAGGAGAGTGTCCCATCCTTCTCCACAAGGAATACCTGGAGATTGAGATTTAAGGAGACGCTGTGGGGAGGGGCATTTGTTGGGAACAAACGCTGGTTCCTTGTTGTGTATTGTTGCTGATCTCTTGTTCTGTGACTTCTGTTTGGAACACCTGGAAACTTGAACTATTGGATTGACTGACCAGGTTACTTGAATGTTTAAAGACCTCAGACTGTATTTCGGATTCTCTTTTTTGAAAACTGCTCAGGCAAGCTAGGATTCAAACAGACTCCTTAAGTTTATGTTTTTTTCCTTGTTATCTCTATGGCCTTGAGTACTTTTTTATGCTAATCAGACTATATTTGAGCCTACTTTCAGCCAGAGTCAGCTGAAGGGGTGTGTGTGTGTTGTTTTGTTGGAGGCTTGCCAGCAAATGTGGGAGCACTTGGGGAACATTTGGAGCAATAAAAGAACTGTTTGAATTGCCAGCTGACTGCATTGCCTCTGTGCTGTGCCCTGGGTCATCAAAGGATGGTTCTGCTTCATTTCTGGAGCCGTTTCTGAATATAGGCGATCCTCAACTTACGACAATCCTTTTAGCAGCTGCTCAAAGTTATAAAGGGCTTTGAAAAAAGTGGCTTTTGACACTTACAGCTGTCACAGCATCTCCATGGTCAGGTGATCAAACTGTGGGTGCTTGGCAACTGGCTCGTATCTATGTGATCGTCATTTTTGACCCTCCCAGTCAGCTTCCGACAAGCAAAGTCAATGGGGAAACCAGATTCATTCAGTGACCATATGACTCACTTTAGAACAGGGTCAAAAAAGGCTGCAAAATTGGGTGCCACTTGCTTAACAACCACCTTGCTTCACGATGGAAATTCTGTTGTCAAATGTGGTCATAAGTCAAGGACTTACCTGTATTATCTTCAAGGCAACCTCCATTCTCAAGGTGAGCAGCAATTTTTACGCGAGTCAAACGCACCCAGTTCAGACCAATGGAAGGGAAGAAATCAAAGTCTCTTGCAACTAGTTCCTCTTTTAAAATTAGTTTCATTTTTATTTTCATCCTCATTGATACTCGCATTCATTCCCCTGAGTGCCACAATCCAGCTTCCCCCTCAGTGCCTGGATTGACTCCGAAACCTCCAAGAAAGTTGGGGAGAAACGTGGAGAGAACCCAATAAGCAGGGGAGAACAACAAAAGGATTGAAGCTCGGAGGGAGGGAGGAAGAGAAGAAGAACGAGAGCGAGGGAGAGAAGGAGAGAGAAAAGGAGAGGAGAGAGGGGGAGGGGGAGAGAGAGAAAGGGACAGAGGAAGAGAGGAAGGGAGGGAGGGAGGGAGAGGGAAGGAGAGAGGGGGGAGAGAGGAAGAGATGGAGGGAGAAGCAGAGAAAGGGAGAGAGAAGGGAGGAGGAGAGGGGAGAGGCATAGAGGGAGGAGAGGAGAGGGATGTTGAGAGGGAGGGAAAGGGAGAGAGAGGAAGAGAAAGGGAGAGAGGGAGGGAGACAGAGATAGAGGGAGGGACAGAGGGAGAAGGAGAGAAAGAGAAAGGAGAGAAAGGGAGGGAGGGCAAGAGAGAGAGAGAGCGAGAGAGAAGGAGGAGAAGAGGATGCAGGAAATACACCAGGGTGGAAAAAGTTAACTCCACCAGCTGAACCCTGAAAAGGAAGAAACGGAGAAAGCTGGAAGGACCCAGAGGGGTGGAGAAAAGACCATCAGCTTCTTCCTTCTCCTTCCTCCTTTCCTCCCACAGGAAAGCCAAGTGCCCAGTGAGTCCAATCTTTGGTACAAGGGCTTAAAACCCAGAAGTCCACAAAGCGTCCACTGCAGTCTCAGTCAATGTTCATCTCCAGAGACGGGTCTGCCAGCGGTCCCTTTGATGTAGCCGCGCATCGTCCCTCGGCTGCGCCCAGAGGTCAGACCACCAATATTTGAACACGGCAGGCGGTTGTGCAAGGGAGGCCCGGCGAAGGCCGTTGTCTTTGGTCAAGCACATGATTGTTTCCAATTGCTAGGGGAGGAAAATTTTGAGATGGGAAGAGAGGACCTCAACCCAACCGCCACGGGGTGGATTGGCTGCAGCTGGCGCAGCTGTTCTGCACACTCCATGGCAGCATCGCCAGCTGTGGGTTGGGTCCCCAAATCCCAGAGCCCGGGAGCCCCCCTCCTCTCCCAGCTTGGCACATCTGAAAGAACATGAGGTAGATGAAGTCACTCCCTTCTTTGGTACATTGACATTCTGCACTAGCACAAAAGGAACTCCCCAATCCCCCGTCCCCACCCCACCCCACCCCCAGAGCCCAGTGAATCCCAAGGAGACACAATCCACTTCCCACCCCCAACCCAAGGGCTGCCTCCAAACCGCAAGAGGTTGTCCCCACCCAACCCATTCCCTCAAAGCAATGTAATGAAAGTGCAACCGAAGAGATGGGTGGTTTTGCTTGTGTCCGTAGGGAGGCAACACGGGAAGGGAGGAACGTGGGAAGGAAGAGGGGGTTGGGTTGGAGCAAGGAAGAGAATGGACGTTATGGAGCCACAGGTGTCCTCACTGCGGCTCTGAGACAGGAGAAGGCAGCTTTCATGGGCGCAAGTGCATTCTAACCCTCAGACCTGCTCTCCACACCCCAATCCTCTCTTGACTGGCCTGTCCTACTCATGAAGTCTCCCCACCTTAGCAGAAGAACAGAAGAACTGTAGGGCTGGGAAGGATTTTGGAGATCTTCTGAATACAGAAAACAGAATGAGTTGGAAGGGACCTTCTAATCCAGCCCCCTGCCCAAGCAGGAGACCCTCTACCATTTCAGACAAAGCTTCCAACCTTCCAACCTTCACCTCAAACCTTCCACCTTCCCAGAAGGGACCTTGGAAGTCTTCTAATCCAACTCCTTGCCCAAGCAGGAAAACCTCTAACATTTCAGAAAAACCTTTCGACCTTCACCTCAAACCTTCCATCTTCCCAGAGTCATAGGCTGGAAGGAAGCTTGGAGGTTTTCTAGTCCAACTTCCTGCTCAAGCAGGAAACCTTATACTGTACTGGTTAAATAGTTGTCCAATCTGTTGGGTTTGGGGTGGGTTTTCTGGAGGGTTTTCAAGATCTCCAGTGATGGAGCCCCCCCAACTCCGAGAGGCAAGTTATTCCACTAATTAATTTGTCCACTGTCAGGAAATTTCTCCTTACTTCTAGGTTGGATCTCTTTTTAAACAAGCTTCCTCCTTGCCTCGGTCCATCCCATAAACCTCACATTCATATGTCCTGCTGATCCTCCTACAATTTTCCCACCATGCTGGTTTTATCTAAGATGCTTCAGATAGGAGTCCCGTGCAGCTGTCACCAGAACCAATGCACCATGAGATTTAAACACCCACTATCACACTCACACAGCTGCACCTTCCGCAAGATCTTTGGTTTGGTTAGTACTGACAACCACTCCCAACCTCTGTTGAGCTGAGCCATAGATCCCAGGGGTGAGTGTGCAAAGAGGAATTGGTGAGTGTACAAAATCAGGACTGGGGTAGGACTCTGTAGTGGTGAAGACTGGGAAACAGAGGGAGCATGTTAAGAGCATGGTCATATGTCTGGGCAGGGAATGGTGGAGAGGACAAGGAAGAAGATGCAACCCCGTTCCAGTTGAAGACTTCTCACCACCATCAAGTCCTTGGAGGAACCCAACTGGTGTCCAGCATCCAACCTCAACCAAGGAAATCAATGCAAGAGAATCCATAACCATGGTTCACTAGCTCCACCATGGCTCCACAATAACAAAACCACAGAGTTGCCCAATCTTTTCTTGAGAACCTCCCGTGATGGAGCACCCACAACTTCTGGAGGCAAGCCGTTCCACTGATTAATACAAATCCAGAGTTGGAAGGGACCTTGGAGGTCTTCTAGTCCAACCCACTGCTTGAGCAGGAGACTCTACACCATTTCAGACAAATGATTGTCTAATCTCTTCTTGAAAACCTCCCGTGATGGAGCCCCCACAACTTCTGGAGGCAAGTCATTCCACAGATTAATCAGCTTCCTCTCTACCACCTTCGTCTCAACCCTATGTCCTCCTCAGTGCCACAATGTCTCTCTAACCTGCCATTCGCCCTGCCCCGAAGTCCCTTTCCAAGCCCCTCCAGAGCTCGGGGGCCCCACCTCTTCCCACCCTGAACCAAGAACGCAGATGCCCCCACAAGGTCCCCACGCAGGATGGGAGAGTGGAGGCTGCTGTCCAAGGGGTGGAGGACAGGCTGCAGGGCTTCGCCTCTCAGGGTGAGGTGCTGGCTGGAGCACGTCCCCGAGATGTAGCAGAGAGCAGCTGGCTCGGTGGCATGCCGGTGCTGGAGTGGCTGTGGGCACTTCCCGCGGTGCCCAGGAGGCCGGATCGTCTGGCAAACAGCACACCTGTTGGAGCGAGAGAGGTGCTAAGTCAGTGCAAGTGGCAATTGATCAGCACACCCAACGACTGCTGCTCACACCTGCCCAAATCCAAAGTCTGGTCTCAGGAAGCCCACCCGTGAACTTCAGCGCCCTACTGGGAGCTGCCCTTAACTTGCCATTGACCTACCGCAGAGCTACGGGTCGTAAGTCAACATTGGGGAATTCTAAATTGTATAGTCTGTTCCGGAGGTTGGCCATGCCGCCTTTTTATTTTCTTCCATTAAACGGAGGGGTCCACCAAGGACGCCTCATTTCAACCCTGGGCTACAAATATTTTTTTCTAGCCAGACCACTTGTGTATGAACAGATAGCAAATCCCCCTCCTTTCTAGCACTGATGATGTTACCTAGTTAGGTCATGAAACATCTGCAGGCTCAGAGAGCACCAAGGACCCCACAGTTGTTGTTGTTGTTCTTCTTCTTCTTCTTCTTCTTCTTCTTCTTCTTCTTCTTCTTCTTCTTCTTCTTCTTCTTCTTCTTCTTCTTCTTCTTCTTCTTCTTCTTCTTCTTCTTCTTCTGCTTCTTCTTCTTCTTCTTCTTCTTCTTCTTCTTCTTCTTCTTCTTCCTTCTTCTTCTTCTTCTTCTTCTTCTTCTTCTTCTTCTTCTTCTTCTTCTTCTTCTTCTTCTTCTTCTTCTTCTTCTTCTTCTTCTTCTTCTTCTTCTTCTTCTTCTTATTCTTCTTCTTCTTCTTCTTCTTCTTCTTCTTCTTCTTCTTCTTCTTCTTCTTCTTCTTCTTCCTCCTCCTCCTCCTCCTCCTCCTCCTCCTCCTCCTCCTCCTCTTTCTCCTTTCCTTCTCCTCCACTCTGCAAACCCCATTCCCTTCTAGCACTGATGATGTTACCTAGTTAGGTCATGAAACATCTGCAGGCTCAGAGAGCACCAAGGACCCCACAGTTCCTCCTCCTCTTCTTCTTCTTCTTCCTCCTCCTCTTCCTCCTCCTCCTCTCTTCCTCTTTCTCCTTTCCTTCTCCTCCACTCTGCAAACCCCATTCCCTTCTAGCACTAATGATGTTACCTAGTAGGGTAATGAAATGTCTGCAAGAAAATCACCAAGCCCTGAGAGCACCAAGGACCTCACAATCCCCCTCCTCCCCCTCCTCTTCATAAACCTCCCTCCCTTCTAGCACTGATGATGTTACTTAGTTGGGTAATGAAACGTCTGCAAGAAAGCTTATCAAGCTCAGAGAGCACCAACATCCTCCTCCTCCCCCCTCCTCCTCTCCCTCCCCCTTCTCAGACAGCACCAACATCCTCCCCTCCCCCTCCTCCTCCCCATCCCTCCTCCTCCTTCTTCTCTTCTTCTCCTCCTCCTCCCTTGTAGCACTGATGATGTTACCTAGCTGGGTAATGAAACGTCTGCAAGAAAACAACCAAACCCAGAGAGCACCGAGGAGTCTCTATTTCAGCCCTAAGCTACAAATATTCTCCTTTATTGGTTCCATTTAATTCTCAAATACTGGCTGGGACAAGTCCCTGTAGCTTTCTTGCCAAGTGTCATGGTTCCGAATAATGAAACACTTCAAAGAACTTCCAGGTATGTTTATCCTAAAGCCTTTATTACCAGTGTTACAAATTGACGGCACATCATGGAGGTTTATGCCAGAATCTGAATTCCTCTTGCTGGCATCTAACTTTTCTTGCTAAACCCCTCCCCTATCTTGCAGTCACAAGTCACATCTTCCAATTAGCCCAGAGGGCAGAGATTCACTTCAGTTCCTTTTCCGGGCTTTTGTTATTTCCCCTCCCTTTTCTCTGTCATCTGAATTAACTCTAAAAATACCAGACAGTTCTGCATATTTTGTCAAAGCAAGAATATTCAATATTAGCAGCGAGGTTTTTCAGAAGGCTAGAGAGAAAGTAGCTGGCCAAGGTCACAGTCGCCTGGTTTCTAAGCTAAAGAGCTTAACCTGAAGGCCTTATGTGCTACACTAAACTGGCTCTTATTTATCCTGCCTTGTTTAACCTGGTTATGGAATGTACCCCTTTTCACACAATATATGGCCCACAAACTAAACCAACGGGCCATGGAGGCAACCCAAGACTCCCAGCTAGCAACTCTGGCCATCTTCAAGGTGTCTGGACTTCAAGTCCCAGAATTCCCCAGCCAGCCACACATCTTAAACTTGCAGAGGCTGGGAAACCCTGGTTTGTGCTATGCCAGAAAATGGGTTGATCCCGGAATCTGCTTGCCCCCAAAGTGATCCCACCCACCCCAAATCTCTTTCTTAGAGCCTCTTCTTCCAAAGCTGGCAATTCCTCAGGTACTACCTATCCCAGTATCCTGGACTGATGATCAGAAAAAAACCAGGTTGGAGGCAAATGTCAGCAACTCCTGCTGTTTTGCAAGGTCTGAATTTGCAGCCTGTGCTCACACAAAGGTGTGGGGGGGAGCTCTTTACCTGTGTAGACAACTCCATTTATTTCTATTGACATGTTGATGCTGCTAATGCTGTTGGTGGACAGATTCAATGCAGTCTCCTGCCTGTCATCTGGAAGAAAACAGCGAGAGGGAATGAGGGAGGCAGAGCAACAGAGGAAGAATGTGAGCGGTCTAGGATAGCTTCTCATAGCCAACTTGCCACATGCCAATTCCCCACAACCAATTCTCCATAGCCAACTCACCACAGCCAATTCACCTCAGCCAACTCACCACAGCCAACTCACCACAGTCAACTCACTACGGGACAATTTACCACAGCCAACTCGCCACGGGACAATTTGCCACAGCCAATTCACCACAGTCAACTCACCACAGCCAAATCACCACAGCCAACTCACCACAGGACAATTTGCCACAGCCAATTCACCACAGTCAACTCACCACAGCCAATTCACTACAACCAACTCACCACAGGACAATTTGCCACAGCCAATTCACCACAGTCAACTCACCACAGCCAACTTACCACAGGACAATTTGCCACAGCCAATTCACCACAGCCAACTCACCACAGGACAATTTACCACAGCCAATTCACCACAGTCAAGTCACCACAGCCAATTCACTACAACCAACTCACCACAGGACAATTTGCCACAGCCAATTCACCACAGTCAACTCACCACAGCCAACTCACTACAGCCAACTTACCACAGGACAATTTGCCACAGCCAATTCACCACAGTCAACTCACCACAGCCAAATCACCACAGCCAACTCACCATGGGACAATTTGCCACAGCCAGCTCAGCACACCCAACTCACCACAGCCAACTCACTACAACCAACTCACCACAGGACAATTTGCCACAGCCAATTCACCACAGTCAACTCACCACAGCCAACTCACCACAGGACAATTTGCCACAGCCAATTCACTACATTCAACTCACCACAGCCAATTCACTACAGCCAACTTACCACAGGACAATTTGCCACAGCCAATTCACCATAGTCAACTCACCACAGCCAACTCACCATGGGACAATTTGCCACAGCCAGCTCAGCACACCCAACTCACCACAGCCAACTCACCAAAGCCAACTCACTACAGCCAACTCACCATGGGACAATTTGCCACAGCCAACTCAGCATAGCCAGCTCAGCCCAGCCAATTCACCACAGCCAACTCAGCACAGCCAACTCATCACAGTCAACTCGCCACCGGACAATTTGCCACAGCCAACTCACCACTACTTCACCACAGCCGACTCACCACAGTTAACTTGCCACGAGACAATTTGCCACAGCCAATTCACCACAGCCACAGGACAAAAGTTACTTAATATCAAAGAAATGATGAAATAGAATCATTAAAGAAAGGATGCCAGAGGAGGGACAAAATGAAATGTGAATGACAAAAATTAAAAAATATTTTTAAAATTATTTTGAATACTGAAATAAAATTGCTGAATTTTGCCACGGTGAGTTGGCCAAGGCGAACTGGCAGTGGTGAGTTGGCTACAGCAAGCTGGCTGTGGAGAGTTGTCGTGTTCCACGAATGCGTGTGCACCCACTAGCAGCTACGCGCTCCTGTCCTGGCTGAATCCAAAGCCCAAACATCCTTTGCCAGGAAGCCCTTGAGGACCGAGGTGCAGGTTGACCCGGATAGGGCTAATTGCTCTGATGTCCATTGCCCCAAATAGTAGAGGCTGGTCTCCTACAAGTAGTCCTTGTTTAATGACCATTCTTTAATGACCATTCAAAGTTACAACAGACCCCCCCACCCCAAACATTACTTACCACCTGTCCCCAAAGTTACAACTGTTGTTGCAAACACCCTGTGATCATATGACTGCATTTTGGGCACTAGGAAACCAGCTCGTTTTTTACAACTGGTTGCAGGATCTCATGGGCACGTGACTGCGATTTGCAAGATTTTTTTTGCTGGTTTCTGCCAAAAAAGTTCCCACACCCCTACAGGAGAGTTGATTCACTTAACGTCCCTGTGGTTCGCTTAACAACAATTAGCTTAACAACAATGATGAAATAAAATCAAGTCAGGTTATGTTGTGACCTGCTTAGAGCTCAAATCAGCTACTTTATTGTTTTCTGCCTATAACGCAGGAATCTCCCCAGACTGGCAGCTTGTGCTTAGGAAAGACCAGATAAGGCTCAAAAATATTCAGGTCTTGCCCTCTTGTACTGTATTTATGTATCAAACAGTCTTGCCCTCTTGTGTTTGTGTAGCAAACCTGGGCTAATCCCCTGCTTGAACCTTCTGCCCAACTGGGATGGCTGCTCTCCAACAATCCCTGAATTACCGAGAGGCACGTAAATTATTCCCACAGAGAGTCCAAAGAACTGGGGACTGGAAATCGGCCTGGTGGGAATAGGTTCCACAGCCTCCCCCACCCAACTACACTTCCCAGATGCCCTTGGGCCAATGCAGAACTCAATGGAGATGTTTCCCACCCCTGAAAGTGATGGATGAGGAACCCACCTCCACGGCTGTTGACCTTGATGTTGACCGGGAACTGGGAGGCCATGGCCAAGAGGTTCTGCTGAAGAGCTTGCTGGACCAGGCGCTGCTGCTCTTCAGCCACCAGCGCCATCTTCTTCTCTGGGGGCTCGCTGGTCTCCAGCTTCTCCCGCAACTGCTCCAGGGCGGCTGCCTGAGATGCAGCGGCTTGTGCTGCCACCAGGTGATGCCCAGCTAGGCTGACAGGTATAGCGATGCGGCTGGGCACCCCGGGTGACAGGAGGCTCTCTTCTGTGAGGAGGAGGAGGAGGGGGAGGAAAAGGAGGAGGAGATTAACAGAGGACAACAAAGGTGTAGCAACTTTTCTAGGAATGTCATGGCTGTCATATCTACCCACCAGCTACCTACCTATCTAATCTATCTACCTACCTACCTACCTATCTAATCTATCTACCTACCTATCATCTATCTATCTATCTATCTATCTATCTATCTATCTATCTATCTATCTATCTATCTATCTATCTATCTATCTATCTATCTATCATCTATCTATCATCTATCTATCTACCTACCTACCTATCATCTATCTATCTATCTATCTATCTATCTATCTATCTATCTATCTATCTATCTATCTATCATCTATCTATCTACCTACCTATCTATCATCTATCTACCTACCTACCTATCATCTATCTATCTATCTATCTACCTACCTACCTACCAACCTATCATCTATCTATCTATCTATCTATCTATCTATCTATCTATCTATCTACCTACCTATCATCTATCTATCTACCTACCTACCTATCATCTATCTATCTAATCTATCTATCATCTACCTACCTACCTACCTACCTATTATCTATCTATCATCTATCTATCTACCTACCTGCCTACGTATCTATCATCTATCATTTATCTCTATTTAATCTCCCTCTTTCTCTATCCATCCATCATCTATCATCATCTGTCATATCTATATATCTGTCCATTCATCCATTCATCCATCCATCCTATACATCTGTCATCTATCATCATCTATCTTTCTATCATTTATCCATCTGTCTATAATTATCTACAGTATTATCTATCATATATCAATCATCTATTGCTCTATTTATATCTATCTACCTTTCTATATCTATCTATCTATCTATCTATCTATCTATCTATCTTTATCATCATTTGCTATAAGGTTTCCTGTTTAATCAGACGTTAGACTAGAAGATCTCTAAGCTCCCTTCCAACTCTGTTATTCTGTTACTTATCAATCAATCAATCAATCATCCATCTATTCATCTATCTCTCTGTTTATGTACTAGTGGCTTGCCCACCAGTGTTGGTGGGAGTGGTCTTGGGGGTTCCACGATTAGTTGTTATTTACTGAGTTAGTAACCAACCAAGAACAGAGAGCAAACCCCCCCCCTTCTAGCACTGATGATGTTCCCTAGTCGGGTCATGAAATGTTTGCAAGAAAAGCACTAAGCCCAAAGAGCACCAGAATTCACCCTGAGCTGCAGTTATTCTCTTCTATCGGTTATTCTGCTGTGCTGAGAAAAGAGATATGGGCCCTTCCCAGAGGTGTCGAACCACAACTCCCATAGCCCACTTCCAGCCACCAAGCATGGAGGGGGACTGCCTCTAAAAAGGAGAAGACTATAGCTTTGGAATCCCTCTGACTCTCTGAAGGCTGCAAGAAAAAATGGGTTTGGCAAGGCCAGGGGTAGGCCACCTTGGCTCTTTTATGACTGGTGGACTTCAACTCCCAGAATTCCTGAGCCAGCATGGCTCAGCTTGGAAACCTCTCCCTTTCCCCTCAGCGTGGCTGGCTCAGGAATGCTGGGAGTTGAAGTCCACAAGTCATAAAAGAGCCAAGGTTGCCTACCCGTGGACTAGGCCTACCATTTTCTGATCATCTACTCCTGTCAGGCTTAATAGACTAGGCCAGGGGTAGGCCAACCTTGGCTCTTTTATGATTCGTGGACTTCAACTCCCAGAATTCCTGAGCCAGCATGGCTCAGCTTGGAAACCTCTCCCTTTCCCTTCAGCATGGCTGGCTCAGGAATTCTGGGAGTTGAAGTCCACGAGTCATAAAAGAGCCAAGGCTGCCTACCCATGGACTAGGCCTACCTGTTTCTGATAATCTACTCCTGTCAGGCTTAATAGACTAGGCCAGGGGTAGGCCACCTTGGCTCTTTTATGACTTGTGGACGTCAACTCCCAGAATTCCTGAGCCAGCATGGCTCAGCTTGGAAACCTCTCCCTTTCCCCTCAGCGTGGCTGGCTCAGGAATTCTGGGAGTTGAAGTCCACGAGTCATAAAAGAGCCAAGGTTGCCTACCCCTGGGCAAGGGGAAAAAAGCCCAGTGTGTCCTTTTCCAAGTTTATTTATTTATTTTGGTGCATTCAGGGCCAAACCTTTAACAAGGAACAGCCTGAAACGCAATTAAAACAGATCAAAACCAGTCAATGGCGGCTTTTTCTTTCCCTTGAGGTACCTTTTTCAGTTTGGGTTCACTTTAGAGAGAAGCGGTTTGGCCCACAAGGTTTTCACACCAAATGCCGGTCACTGGGGGGAAGGTCAGGACAGGGGAATCAAGAGGTAGTCCTCAACTTACAACAGTTTGGTTTAGTGACCGTTCAAAGTTACAATACCACTGAAAAAAGTGACCGATGACCGTTTCTCACACTTTAAAGAACCGCTGCAGCATCCCCACAGTCACACAAAATTCGGACAATGGACTCCTATTTGTGATGGCTGCATTTATGTTGCGCGGTCACGTGACCCCCTTTTGCGACCATTTGACAAGCCCAGTCAACAACTGTGTTAATATTTTTAACAACTGAAGGGATCCACGTAACAACGCTGGCGAGAAAAGTCACAAAACGGGGCCAAACTCACTTAGCAAATGTCTCCCTTAGCCACGGAAATGTTGAGGCTCAAATAAATTGGAGAACTACCTGTACCCCAAAAAAGGAGGTATTTTCCTGCAGAGGTTCAGCCTTTTCCCCTCGCTCTGCCTTTGCCCCCTCCCCCGGGAACCCCCCTTCCCCCTCCCCCTCCCAAGCAGCCCGAGACCCTCACCTTTTTTGACGGCGTGGGCTTGCCCGATCTGGCTCCCGTTGTGGGTGGCGAGGGCGAGGGTGGGCAGAGGGACCTTGGGAGAGGCGAGAGTGCCTGGTGTGCCTGTTGGCGAGTAGCTGAACAGGGTGGCCCCGAACATCTGCCGCCTCCCTTCCCGACGATTGCTGTCAATGGCGGCTTGCAGCTCTCCGGGAGAGCTCAGCCCCCGTTTCTCACATTCGTAAGGGTAGAGGTACTTCATGTATCTGCGAGGAGAAAGCAGAGAGGTTGGGAGAGACAACTTTCTATCGCCACAGCAGGAAGGGACCTTGGAGGTCTTCTAGTCCAGTGGTTGTTAACCTTTTTGAACAAATCGCCCCCTTGAGCCAATGAGGAAGTTGTCATCGCCCCCCTCCCCCAACATCACCTCTCATAGGAAACAATTCTTCAATTTATGCAAACACTATTTTTGTTTTCTTTAAAATTGTCATCAGGACATATCAATGCAAATAACTTATTTCCAGTCTTTTCCCCATATCTCAACTGTGTGAAAAATTTTGGTGCTACCCATCACTTTATTCCCAAACTTCGTGATCCATGTATTTCATTATTATCTTATTTATTCAAGACACTTAAATGTAATGACCACTGAAAACAAAATTCAATTGCAAGAAAGTGAAATGCCTGAAAAGAAAAACAGTAACATTTAATGATTGAATTACAAGTGAAATTTAAGACGCAAAAAGAATTATAAAAAGGGCATAAGAACAAACCGCAATGCAGGAACTAAGAATTTCAAGACGAAAACTCTGAAACTAAATTAAGATTCGAGGAAAGTATATATAGTCACGCACACTGTAAAAAGGATTAAAAAGACACAAAGAAAATATAATATCGAACTGGAGTGCACGCTAAAAAAGTACAATACAAAGAGACACACAAAATGTTTTACAGAGCACAACAAAAATTCTAAAACGAAGCTGATGTGTATTCACATATGTACAGCGTTCTGTACTGAAGCTAGCTGGAGGAACATTTGAAAACACAATTCAATCCACTAATAGCAAGCAATCTGATGTTTTTGTATGACAGATATATAGCGATTCACTGTACAAAAAAGTCTCAAAAGTGTCCCCAAAACTTCTCGCTCCATCGCCCCCATATCGCCCCCTTTTCGTTCCTTCGCCCCCCCTGAAAAACAAAATAGGTTAAGAACCACTGTTCTAGTCCATCCCCATGCTCAAGGTAGGAGACCCTGTACCGATCCGGACAAAGGGCTGTCCAGTCTCTTCTTGAAAACCTCCAGGGATGGGCCACCCATCACTTCAGGAGGCAAGTCGTTCCACTGGTTGATTAACAGAATAATAGAGCTGGAAAGGGCTTTGGAGGTCTTCTAGTCCAACCCCCTGCTCAAGCAGGAGACCCTATGCCATTCCAGACAAATGGTTGTCCAGTGTCTTCCTGAAAACATCCAATGATGGGTTCATACTGAAAGTGAGATGTATCAAACAATGTTTCAAGGTTTTCTATTGCTGGTCATTCTAGAAGTCTACAATGGGCATCGTATCAATTAGTATTGAATGACTCAAACTGATCTCTCTCTCTTTCTCCTTCTCTGTCTTTCTCTCTCTCCCCTCTCTCTGTCTTTCTCTCTGTGTCTCTGTCTCTCTCTTTCTTTCTCCCTCCCTCTCTGTCTTTCTTTCTCTCTTTCTCCCTCCCTCTCTTTCTCTCCCTCTCTCTGTCTGTCTCTCTCTCTTTCTCCCTCTCTCTTTCTTTCTCCCTCTCTCTCTCTGTGTTTCTTTCTCTTTCTCCCTCTCTGTCTTTCTCTCTGCCTCTCTCTCTTTCTCCCTCTCTGTCTTTCCCTCTTTCCCTCTCTCTCTGTGTCTCTGTCTCTTTCTTTCTTTCTCCCTCTCTCTCTGTCTTTCTCTTTCACTTTCTCTCTCTCTCTCTTTCTCCTTCTCTCTGTCTTTCTCTCTCCCTCTCTCTCTCTCTCTGTCTCTCTCTGTTTCTCTCTCTTTCCTTCTCCCTCTCTGTCTTTCTTTCTTTCTGTCTTTCTCCCTCTCTGTCTCTGTCTCTCTCTCTCTCTCCCTCCCTCTCTCTCTCTCTCCTTCTCTCTCCTTCTCTCTCCTTCTCTCTCCTCTCTCTCTTTTGCATTTGTCGCTTAACACATGCAAAGAAGCAGAGGGGACCTACACTTTTCTAAGCCTCCCCATCCGTAGCCCGGTTATTCCCAGATGTCTCTAAAATCTCTGGTCACAGCTCATTCTGCAGAGAAGAGCAACAAAGATGATTAAAGGCCTGGAGTTAAAAACATACCATATGAAGAACAGTTGCAGGAAGTGGATAGTCTAGAGAAAAGAAGGACTAGAAGTGACAGGATACCAATATCCCAGTATTTGAAGGGCTGCCCCAAAGAAGAGGGAGTCAAGCTATTCTCCAAAGCGCCTGAAGGCAGGACAAGAAGCAACGGATGGAAACTCATCAAGGAGAGAAGCAACCTAGAACTGAGGAGAAACTTCCTGACAATGAGAACAATTAACCAGTGGAACAACCTGCCTCCAGAAGCGGTGAATGCTCCAACAGTGGAAGTTTTTAAGACGAGATTGGACAGCCATTTTTCCGAAATGGTATAGGGTTTCCTCCTTGAGCAGGGGTTTGGACTAGAAGAACTCCAAGATCCCCTCCAACTCAGTTATTCTGTATTCTATGTTCAGAAGATCTCCAAAATCCTTTCCAGCCCTACCATTCTATGTTCTAGGCCTCCTCGGTCTTCAAAATCTCCACTTTTGTTTCCTGCAGGGGCCAATCCTAACACAACATTTCTAAACCATGTTCCACGCACACACATACCCATCCCGGCCACAGTGACTCACTGCGTGCGGAGTGTGAAGGCTGCGCTGGTGATGGAGGTGGGCAGATTCAAGCCTTTGGTGATCTCCCGCCAGATCTTCTTATTGATGACCTCCACCAGGCCCCCTTTCTCAGTCACCAGCCAATAGAGCGTGTAGAGATCCAGCACTTGCTTGGCCATGATGGGGATCCGGTTTACAGGGGTCCCTGGAAAGAGGGAGGGAGAGAGGGAAGAAGATGGGCACCACACACAGAAAAAGTTTTTTAAAAAAGAAGCCACCACCCAAATCAAGGTTTCTAATCTTGGCCACTTGAAGATGGGCAGACTTCATCTCCCAAAATTCCCCAGCTGGCTATGATTTTGTGCTGAGGTTTTTTTTTAAAAATGTTCTGTACTTTTTTTAAAAAAATTAAATAATAATAATAATCAGTCCCACCCCAACCCCCAGCACTGCAATGCTGTGTAAATTTAGTTTAGATGGTTTTTACTGTTTGTGTTGTGGCATATTTTTTGAATGACAAGTTGCTCACAGTCTTTGATCAAAATAGGAGAAAAAGAAAAAAGGTAAGGAAAGGAAAGGAAAGGAAAGGAAAGGAAAGGAAAGGAAGGAAGGAAGGAAGGAAGGAAGGAAGGAAGGAAGGAAGGAAGGAAGGGAAAGAAGGGAGAAAGAGAGAAAGAGAAAGAAAGAAAGAAAGAAAGAAAGAAAGAAAGAAAGAAAGAAAGAAAGAAAGAAGGGAGGGAGGGAGGGAGGGAAGAAAGAAAGAAAGAAGGGAGGGAGGGAGAGAGAAAGAGAAAGAAAGAAGGAAAGAAAGAAGGAAGGAAAGAAAGAAAGAAAGAAAGGAGGGAGGGAGGGAGGAAGAAAGGAAAGAAAGAAAGAGAGAAAGGAGGGAGAAAGAGAAAGAAAGAAAGAAAGGAAAGAAAGAAAGAAAGAAAGAAAGAAAGAAAAAGAGAAAGGAGGGAGAAAGAGAGAAAGAGAAAGAAAGAAAGAAAGAAAGAAAGAAAGAAAGAAAGAAAGAAAGAAAGAAAGAAAGAAAGAAAGAAAGAAAGAAAGAAAAGGCTTTGCAAAGACGTGGCTGGAGTCCTCTAAACGCATTGCCCGGTGGAGGCTTTAGGGAGAGGATCTGGTATATCTGGTAGATCAAGAAGGGCTGACTTCCCACTCCCATTCTTTGTCGAGGGGTTACAAAATTGGAAAAGAGGAAAATAAAGGAGAAAATTTGTAGCTCATGGTTAAAATGAGGACCAAGGACCCATCATCATCATTATTATTATTATTATTATTATTATTATTATTATTATTACTACCTCCTCCTCCTCTTTCTGGTTTCCTCCTCCTCCACTCTGCAAACCCCACTCCTTTCTAGCACTGATGATGTTCCATAATTGGGTCATGAAAAGTCTGCCACAAAACCAGAGCACCAAGGACCCCTCAAAAGAGAAAATACTTGCCACCCATGAGAGGGAACCCCTCCAAGCCTGGCCAGGGGCGCTGCAGTGGGAGCTCTGTCCTTCCGGCCGGAGCACGAGCAGGTGCCAAAGTGGGCAGCCAGGAAGCCATGTGGCTCTCCTCTGGGTGACCCAAGAGGCTGTTAATTAGCCTTGGATCTGCGGTGAAAATCTGTCGATGCCGGCTGGTTATTGGAATTGATTTCAGTTTAGAAGCTGATCCAGGGCGGAGGGCAAAGAGCATGCTGGGAGTGGCGGAGGCCAAGTGGGGTGATGTGGCTGAGGGGGCTCCCCTTCTTCAGGGATGGGGCTCTGGACAGGAGAGACCCCACCACAGCTCAGCTATTCAGCTGGGTGTTCTCAAAGTCGGAGGGAAGTCAGGATCTGGCCAGACGAGATCCCCAACTTGGGGGAATGCAGCCCTTGGACCTTTCCACAAAGGATGAGAGCAGCAAGCAAAAGGGGGTGTTATATCTGCCCCCTCCCAGATTTTAGCCCTGCATTCTGGACCCCCCATCGACCACCGAGGCAGATATACATACTCGTTGACTTACAATTGCAACTGAGTCCAAAAGTTCCGTTGCTAAGCGAAATAGTTGTTAAGGGAGTTTTGCCCCCATTTTACGACCTTTCTGCCACAGTTGTTAAGCGAATTCCTGACTTGTGCTGACATTAAATGAATCTGGCTTCTCCCGTTGGCTTTGCTCCTCAGACGTCGGCTGGGACGCTTTAAAAAATGTCAATCACATGATCCCCAGACACTGCAACCGTCACAAATACATGCCACGTGCCAAACACCCGGATTTGGATCACGTGACCCTGGGGAGGCGGCAATGGCCGTTAAGGGTGAAAACTGGCCGTAAGCCACTTTTTTCACTGCTGTTGTAATTTTGAACAGTTACTAAATGAATGGTTGTTAAGTTGGAATGCAGGATAATAGAATTGGAAGGGACCTTGGAGGTCTTCCAGTCCAATCCCCTGCTCAAGCAGGAGAGCCTATACCAGGGGTAGGCAAACTTGGTTCTTTTATGACTTGTGGACTTCAACTCCCAGAATCCCTGAGCCAGCATGGCTCAGTTTGGAAACCTCTCCCTTTTCCCTCAGCATGGCTGGCTCAGGAATTCTGGGAGTTGAAGTCCACCAGTCATAAAAAAGCCAAGGCTGCCTACCCGTGGACTAGGCCTACCAGTTTCTGATAATCTACTCCGGTCAGGCTTAACAGACTAGGCCAGTGGTAGGCAACCTTGGCTCTTTTATGACTCCTGGACTTCAACTCCCAGCATCCCTGAGCCAGCATGGCTCAGCTTGGAAACCTCTCCCTTTCCCCTCAGCATGGCTGGCTCAGGAATTCTGGGAGTTGAAGTCCACCAGTCATAAAAAAGCCAAGGTTGCCTATCCCTGATCTAGTCTAATAAAAAGAAAGATTAGGGGTGATGTGATGGCAGTGTTCCAATATCTCTGGGACTGTCACTTAGAAGAGGGGGATTCAACCTAACCTCCAAAGCACCTGAAGGCAGGACAAGAAGCAACGGATGGAAGCTAATCAAGGAGAGAAGCAACCTAGAACTAAGGAGAAATTTCCTGACAGAACAATTAATCAGTGGAACGGCTTGCCATAAGAAGTTGTGGGTGCTCCAACACTGGAGGGTTTTAAGGAGAGATTGGACAACTATTTGTCTGAAATGAGATAAAGTTTTATGCCAGAGCAGGGGCTTGGACTAGAAGACCTCCAAGGTCCCTTCCAACTCTGTTCTTCTGTTCTGTTCTGTTGGTAAGACCCCCCCCCCCACCTTGGAATACTGCATCCAGTTCTGGTCACCAGAATTCAAAAAAGGCGTTGAGACTCTAGAAAGAGGGCAGAGAAGAGCAACAAAGATGATCAGGAGTCTGGATGCGAAAACATATGAAGAAGGGTTGCTGGAACTGGGTATGTCTAGTTTAATGAAAAGAAGGAATAGATGGTGACATGATAGCAGTCTTCCAGTATTTGAGGGGCTGTCACAGAGAAGAGTGGGCCAACTTGTTCTCGAAAGCACCCGAAGGCAGGACAAGAAGCAACGGGTGGAAACTAATCAAGGAGAGAAGCAACCTAGAACTAAGGAGAAACTTCTTGACAGTGAGAACAATTAACAAATGGAACAACCTGCCTCCAGAAGTGGTGAATGCTCCAACACTGGAGGTTTTTTAGAAGAGATTGGACAACCATTTGTCTGAAATGGTGTAGGGCAGGGACGTCAAACTCAATTTCATTGAGGGCTGCATCAGCATTGCGGTTGCCCTTGGGGGTGTGTGCTTAGGGTGGGTGCGGCCTACTGGGTGGGCATGGATAGAGTGCGTATGGCCTACTGGGTTTGCGTCAAGGGTGTCTGTGGGGGCCTGGGCAGGAGTGGGACACATCTGAGGGTCTATGGCAGAAGGGGGTGGGACCGGGGCAAGCGCCAAGGCATGGTGCAGTTCTTCATTCCTCACAAAGGGTGACACCTCCCCAGCATGCACCCAGGGGGTGGGGCCGACACAGCAGGGGCTGGTTCCTCGCTGTTTCCAGACGGCCTTGTGGAGCTAAGACTGAATGCGTTTCAGCATAGATGGCCACCACAAAAATTGTACATTGGCTCCTGACCGGCCAGGGCCAGGGCCAAGGCAGCAGGGGCCAGCGGGCCACATGAAACCACTTGGGCCGCATCCGGCCCTCGGGCCTTGTGTTTGACATGTCTGGTGTAGGGTTTCCTGCCTGGGCAGGGGGTTGGATTTAAAAGACCTCTGAGGTCCCTTCCCACTCTGTTATTCTATTCTATTCCATGAAAACTTTGTAAGGCACCACTTTGGTGGGTTTAGCATGAAACCCCGACAGGAGCTGACTCAAGTCAGGGGCATCATTTCTGTTAGGGCCCTCGCTGCCCTAAGTCAGAAGCAACTCTGCCTTGGGAAAAACTTCAAGAGGAACTCCAAACCCCAGCATCTCTCTGGTGGCAAAGGGGAGGAAGAGGCCAGGGAGGAGGGGGGGCAGGGTCCGGCTTGCAAGATGCCCAGTTGCTCAAACGGACCCTGGATGAGCACAGGAGCAGCTGCCACCTTCCAATCACAAAGAAAAGCCCTTAATTTATACATTCTTTTCTTCCAGAAAGACCACAGGGAAAGAGCTGGACCTGGAGGGGGGGGGGAGCTGATCGAAGCCCCATCCATTTGCAGGAGACGCTGGGCTCAAGCGCCACAGTTTCCTCGCTCCCCCTAATTTATGGGCTTCTTATTGGCTAGGATATCCTTCATCAGCTTGAAAAATGACTTGCTTTATTCTTTCCCAGCTGCTCATTCCGGCTGTTTTGTGTTTTAAAAAGTGAAAAGTGGATAAAGAGAAAAGATAAACGTGGATAAAGAGAAAGAGAAATGGCGAGTGTGCAAAAAGGAAAGGTCAAGAAGGAGAGGGAGGAAAAAATGGTGCTCGTGTTTTGTACTCTGGAGCAAAGGCAGCAGGCCTGAGGGTTTCGGGGTACAGCCAGGGGTTTGCAGATGAGTATTTGGAAAGAAGTGGTCCCGTCGGGTCCGCTTAGAGGTGGGCACCAATGGCCATGGGAAATTTTAAGGCCTGCGGACCTGCTGGTTGAGGAATTCTGGGAGTTGAAATCCCCAAATCTTCAAATGGCTGAGGCTGGATACTCCTGGTGTAGGCAGAGAAACTGGGTGGAGAATCTTTCTGGATATGTTTTTTTTTCTGGAAAAGGAGAAAGGAGGAGGAGGAGGAGGATGACAACAACGACTGTGG